ATACACCTTGTAGGCTTCCCAGTTATTGACACACCTCAACCAACATGAATGATAACAACCCATACAAACTAAAAAAATATTACTTCTAAAACGGAACATTTTTCGCACCTTATCCTTGGCAAATTCAATAGCTTCTTTATCAGTGTCGAAGAAGGCATTCAACCGGACATTGTACCTACTCAAGATGGCAGACACATCTTCCCGACTCTAGAACGAGACAAAAGGAAAAATAAACACCGTGCACTACGAATTAAAAAAGTTCCAGAGAAATATTAAGAACCCTTTACACCCTAACAACAACAATATCCATTTTCTCCATAATCTCCTCTACACATGTCATTTGTTACGGACAAGGAGAATCTGTTCAACAATTAACACTTCATAGGTTGACGATCATTAATTTCCTTTAGTCTCACGTTATAAAAGAATCATTCAGCAGTATTACGATAAGGACAAATGAGATGCTGATCACACAGAGTTTGAGGGTCAATTAGATAAAGGCATACTGTGCATGCTTCAAGGGGAAATGTGCAATGACTAGTATTTGTTTAATCAATATGCATAACTATTGGTTACCCTACTTATACACAAGCTCGCAAAAGTGGTGAGAAGAGGGGTGGAGGAGACAGAAATTTAGAAGTCTTACCAGTGCTGAGACACTGATTCCCCAAAAATGCCAAAAAGGGCTTACCGTGTCATTTGCTGCAGTCTCCAACAAGTGAAAAAATAGTTTAGCAGCTTTCTGTTTCGACACATATTTTAGGACACATTCCAAAAGAAGCTTATCAAGATTCAGATTTCCATCAAAAGCTGATTGTCCCATCATCTCGGCAAGATACTTCCACAGCAGTGGAACGTCAACTTCAAGATCTTCAGCACTTTTCATGATTGGTTCAACCCTTAAAAACAGACCATACAAGGACAAACAATTACTTATGTTGCTGGGAAAAAAACCCTCATCTTCATTTGACAACCATATAACCTATCTACATGTATGCTGGGGTCTACATAGCTTCCAAGGTAGGGAGGCTGACATTTTCATGTTCATGATGAAAAAAGTGGACACTAACTCTTGCTTATTTTATTATCTGTATCCCACCCTCTAAGGAGACCCCTCTGTAACACTGGTGGGACATGGATGTAAAACAAGCAAAAGAGGGACATACCCAGTGAGGTACTGTTCATTTGTGAGCACCCCATCACGGAGCAGGAAATGGAACAGTCTACCAATGGCCTTTCTACTTGATTCTTTTTGCTCAACTGTGTGGTTGAATGCAAATGTCACAAAGACATGATGTGTTGAAGGTGACTGGAGTTCTTTAACGCACTCAACAGCTTCCTAACAAAGGGAAACCACACAATGTTAAGAAAAAAAAATGTTGAAAACTTTGAATTTGCATGTAGACCTGAGAAACATACTGCAAATCAGTCAGATCCCTTGTTTGGTGCAACCTTTATTTTTTTCGAGATGATATAGCACTATGTGAAATGGAGACTTTGAGATAGGTACTAGCATTCAGCCCAAGGATATGACTAAACAACAGGCAACAGAGACCTTCCTTCTCCAACCATTTAGAAATCTATGCCAGGCAACTTGATGGACACTTTCTTTAATTTTTTTTTTTTTGGG